CATCAATTTTTTTTTATTACTGAATTATTTTTTTTTAGGTTCATAGGTAGTCCCAGAAAATGAGAAAAATATTTAAAAAAATCTGAGGCATATGTTGAGCATTGTCTTTGTGCTTTTTGGATTATAAATTTTGTTCTAAGGAAGAATTTGGTCTTCCACGTTTAGGTGTGCCTTTGATCTCGACAAAGAAGAGAAATAAATATGTTGCAAATTTGCAACACTATGCATTTAAGGGTTAAATATATACGCGAAGAAAAATATTTGCTAACACACAGCAAATTCTATGCCGTTGCAGCAGAATGTGTTAGTTATTAATTATATTAAGTTATCGGTTAGTTATTTATTATTATCACGTGGATGGCAAAACGATTTGTTAAGAATACTAATTGCCATTCGCTGGATTATTTTGCTGAATCTATAAATTATTTTATTAGTAAATGTAGGAAAAGATTATTTTGTTTTAACGGCAAATTAACTAGTTCTAAGGACAAATTTACTCAGTAAAATATTTTCTATCCTGGCAACAAAACTGTTTCTGCTGTAATTACGAATAATTTGTTAATTTGATTATTCCAACTAAATTTTATTGTTATCGTAACGAGGCAGAAATCGCGAATACGAGACAGAGTAATTAAAATAATCTTGGATTTGAAGGCCGCGTCGGGTAGAGGAGAGTTTTTATTTAATGAACAAATATAATTTCTGTCTCGTCATTCGTAATATTATTCGTCTATTCTCCGGATGAAAATCTATATATATCGGTGAGTAAGGACTTCAATATATAATAATCTTTTAATCACGACAGGAAAGAAAAAGATAAGAGAAGAAAAAGAGGAAACAATAGAAACCGAACGCAAAGTTATAATTGCGCGAGAGCGTCTGGAGTTTGATCCGTCTAAACAGGCTTTCGATATTTTTACGTGTAGCAAAAGTCAAGTTTGACTCATGGACCGTGGAAATCGAGGCGTTGAAAGAACAAAGGAGCAAAATAGCCTCGCGTTTTTTGTAGTAGCCACGCGTGTAAAGTCTACCATTAAATCTCGAGAATACGATACACGTCATCGGTGATCGACAAAATCGCGGCTCAAGTTATTACGCCTTTTCTTTATATCATAACTCATTGCATCTGTAATTAGGACTTGCGTAAGACGGCGAAGTGCAACGATGTTTAACCTCCTTCCCATTACGACGCATCAAAAATGATTCATAAGATCGTTAAGTAAATTACGCGCGCGCCAAAAATATAATGCGGTACTTTGCCTTTAAATGATTTTAATTAATCGACTTCTGTTGAATCGATGGAACGAATAAACATTGCATATGCTAAAACGAAGTTAGAGGTCGGGAAAAATTCATCTCGTTTTCTTCTCGGGCTTGTATTCGTCAGTATGATATCACAATTTTGCTCTTACACAGAAAAGAAGCGCTAAATTAAAGTAAATAATTACTGCAATACTTGGATCAAGTAAATATATTTTACTTGAATCAAGTAAATATTACTTTATCCAAGTAAAAATTTGCTAAAAAATATTGGAGCAATTATTTATTTAAATCTAACACTTCCTACAATCGTTCACAGGATGGTTGCAACGATTTTTTTTGTTACACACTTCAGAACACACAAAAAATATGACGAAGTTATGATTCATGAACTTGCGCAATAAATGATTAGACAGCTTAGACAGGTTAGAAAGTTACACGTGTACACGTAATAACTGACGGCTGTCTGATTATTTATTACGTATGTATTTATTACATAAATCATGGGTTCGCTTCGTTGTATTTTTTGTATGTTCTGAAGTATGTAAAAAATAAACTGTTGCAACCGTCCTGCGATCGAGTATACATTTCTTCTTTACAGGAAGCTAACACACAAAGCTTAGACCTCGATTTTCTTAAAAAGTAACGAGACTTAGAAACATCGAGCCGCAATCGCTGACAAAAGTAACCGAGCGAGCCGTGGAACGCGCGAGGAAGTGACTTTTCGGAGCAGTTTCGTTGTGTCGATCGCGCGTAACTCGCGTCATACTTTGTCGTATTGTGTGTGTGATTCGCGTCGTATTTCGTCGTGTCTCGCGATTTTTGCGTCTTCGCGACTCGGTCGGATACTTTCGTGGATGATTGTACGCGTGATGTCAACGGCAGGTCGTCCACGTTATATCCGTCGACATAATACAGAGTCGCGGATGAAGTATGAGATCATTGCACGCGCGTGTGTTTGTTCCGCTTCTACGCGATAACGGCCGGAGAGGCAACAAGTCCTTTGACTTCGCGGGAGGAAACAAAACACTTGATAAATCTCTCTTCGCAATTTTAAAACAACAACGCCGACCCGCTCGCACAGAATCGAATGCTGTTGCCTAAGCTAGACACGACCTATTTAACACGACTTGGCGTAGGGATGACGAAGTTTACGTACTTGGTAAGTTACTTCAGGAACCGATCTCTGTGTCAGAGAGAAAGTCCCCGTTAAACTCGCGGTCGAGTCTCTGAGAAAGAGGAGAGATTTGTGCATAGCGCGGCCGTCGTCGTTATAATTGCAATCTGTTATAATTTATTGCAACTTTAATCGAGATAACGCAGTGCGTTTGCGCATTTCGCATCGCTGACGGAGCTCCGACATTCCAACCGAAATACGTTCGATAATATCGGCTATTATTAGCGTCAGGTCGCGCTTATTACCATTTTGTGCTCGCGTCACAGTTACAGTCAATCGCGATTTAAATTCTCATTAGCCGTCGTGAATTCATAGAATCTCTGAATTTATACTAGAATCTCTCTGAATTTTGCCAGAAAGCGAGTGAAAAGGAGCGTTTCACTTCATTTTTTGCACGAAGAATTCTTTCATTATTCCTTGTAATATTTGTTTTCGTAATATTTGCTCTCGCAAAGAAAAATGTAATCGTTCTCTATACAAATACATAACTCGTCTAAATGTCCACATCTTATTACTGTCTTATGCTTTCAATTCATTTTGGGTTAAGTCTAATTACAAGCTTACGTCGCCCGTTACGCGTCGTTTACTCAATAATTGAATTGATGGGTTTGGCACAAAAATCGGTCAGCTTCGTTAAAGAAAAAAATAAAACTACTTCTGTTTAAAAATATATCATATAAATGTAACAAAACGACCTTTACATATTTAAATGATTCTCATAAAAAGAATTGCATAACTTACTTTGCAAAACAGTTTTTTATTGATATTGTACAATTTCAAAAAATGGAATTAACCGATTTCTGCACCGAACTCTTCTTTGTACGTGCACACCGCGCACGTCGAGATAGTATGCAATAAAGCTATTATTATTATTATTGTACAGCCTTGAACGGCAATCCTACCTTTCAGTCAATGAGGTGCTTCGGAGAAGCCCCTTCGGGAAATGATTTCTGGCGTTTTCGTCGTTATAAAACACGCAGTCACACGGCGGGTTACAAAATTCAGCGGTGTGTCGAATCGGTTTACCATGAGCAAGAGAAAAAATCCGGGAATAATCGAAACGCAATATTTGAACACGATATTTGCACGATATCTTTCGTTCTTTTTTTTTCTGCGCGTTGATACACAATTTATTTTCCGTTTAAACGAATTCGACAACGATTGCATTCATTATTCCAGTAACCGGATCACCGACGTTCTGAAAATGTCACTCTACAAATACCGCGCTCCCGCGTATACATTTAACATTTAAACTGACATGCGTGCGTGTGTCGCGCGCGCGTAATCGAGAAGCGCGGTACGGGAAAAGACAAGTTACAAATTTGCGCGCTAATTAGTCCGCGGTTGCTTTCGTTATCGCGGTATTGGCGACGCGCGGCATGAATTATTGGCGGAATAATAAATTCCTCGTCCGTTTCGCCGTAATTCGCCCTCTCCCTTTTTTCTTCTCTCGTAGCTGATTTACTACAACGAAAGACTCGTGATTTTATTTAATTCCGTCAAATGCGATCCTCCTTCTTTCCCCTTTGTAATTAAGAATATCGCGCTCAGTTCTCTGATATGTTTTGTCTCTTGATTTACGGTTCAGGTATTCTTATATACACACACACAATACACGATTTCAGATATCCTTCCCTTTGCATAATTAAATACATGCTCGGGCTTCATTAATCAAACATGACACATGAATCTACGTTATCACGAGACTAATATGGGCAAATTTAAGGTTGTTTCTCAGTATTCGTCTAAACATTGGCAGACCGAGATTCGTTAAATATCCGGCAAAACATTCTTCAATGCTTTTGTATTTGAACGTTCACCGTCATTAGGTCTGTTCGTTTTCGCAGCACCGCTGAACTAGTGCAATAAGTTGAAGCGAGACAAGTATATGTTTTCTCACTTCAACTTATTGCACTAGTTCAGCGGTGCAGCGAAAACGAACAGTGATGACCTACTGTCATCTCGATACAAAGTCATCGAAGACTGTTTTAACCGTTTTCATCGAATCCTTATCTGTCACCGTCTACTAACGCTAAAATGATTAGATCCAACCTTTAAAGAATAAAACTTGATTTCTAAAGGACGCGGAAAACCACTTTGAAATTTATCGTTATCTTAGACTTCATTGTTCTACATATAACGTTTCTTCGATATAGGCTTTAATCCTTAAGAAGAGTATTCCCCGTTTCAGATTTCACAAAAAGCCTGCCCGTGCCTGTTTTTGCTCTCTCGTCCTCGAGGATTTCATGTTCATTCATTTTGTAAATGGTGCGCGCTCGCTCGTGTCGAATTTACGACGTATCCTAGGTAACCTCCTCCTAGGAGAGACTCGTCGCAGAGCGGAATCGTTCAAGGTCTCTCCTCGCTCGAGAGCGAACAAGCAAGACAAACAAGACGAAGGCAGATTCGCCGGCAACGGAATTCCATTCGCCCGCGTTACGATCGACCACTGTCGTCACTCGCCCGCAATGTTATCGCCGCAACGTGGCCAATCAATGCGGTCTGTGGTCAATAATAGCTTTCGGGCGAAAGGAATTGCCGCGAAATTCGCTCGATCACTCACCCAGGGGTAGGTCGCAGAGCAGGCAGCATGCGGCGATAGCGCCAGCGGAGGCTCCGCTGATCTTGTTCAGCAGCAAGTGCGGCGCGTACTTCTTCAGACATACCGCCACGCCGACGTGGTAGATGCCCAGGAAACCACAACCGGCGAACGACAGATTCATATCGCTGACGCTGTCGCTGCTGCTCTTCTCCGGTGTCCTCGTTGGTCCTCTTTGTTGTTGACGTTCGTTTAACAACCGTAATGCCGTCGTGTAGACGTCGACCCGTCGCTGACTTCTCTCTCTCTCTCCCAGCTTCCTCCTTCTCGTCCCGGAATTCCGGCTGATGTCCCTGCGGATATCGAGCGATATATCGCGGACGTTGCGGCGTGTCACGCGATGTAAACACAGAACTCTGCGTATGAGCCCGAAGAGGTGTCACAGCCGCCGGAGACTTGCGATTGTCTCTCTTCCTCTATCTCTCTCTCGGCGGCTGCGAAATGAGATGCGATCTATCTCGGGCGTATGAAGGAACCCGTCGGTCGGAGTGCGCTTGTCGAGCGGTATGTGCGTAAAAGTGCGAATAATCTCGTGTCTTCTCACTGCACGCGAATTGCGGTCGGTCGTGATCTGACTGGTCGAGTCGGACTGTGGCGAGCAACAGCTGTTCTCTCCGATTAAATCCCAGGGTCGCTCCACGGGCATGGAAGGAAGAGGAAGGAGAAGCGGCGGCATATCGGAGAGAGAGATATACATACGTATCTTCCAAGCCGTGTGAACGTACGACTACGATCGCGAGATGCGTGCTGGTGACGTCACAGCAGCTGGACGACGCGCGATTGGTCGCGCCGGGTGGTGTGGTGCGCCGCCCATAACCCCACCGCGTCCTCTCGCTCGCCCTGGAAGGAGACGGACACTACGTCACGGATGTCAAGGGGGGTGTCGAGTTATGCGAGTTTGTTTGCGGAGGCGCGTGCCGCGGCGTGCGAACCGTTATGTGTGTGTGTACACCACGTATTTACTTAGAATGTACGCGAGTGTAACGAGGCCACCTGTCGTGTCGAGTGTATACATACATGTGCGTGGGCCGGATAAAAATACCTTCCGCTTCCGTAATTAAACGATTCCGTGCCAAACACGTGCGTCGCGATCCGGACGCGTGCTGACAGTTCGACAGCTGGTTGGTCGACGCGTGAGGTTCGAACGTAAACAACATTGTGTGATCGAATTGACGAGTGAGCGGATAGTTTCGTACTTTGTGACGCATTGGACCTCGCCTGGACACGATGCGTTCGAGAAAATGTCGGAAGCCAAGATGAATTCACTCCTATTACGCGATCTTGCCGCACAGGAGGGTGAGGGGGGTGCGTTAGGAGTATGAAAAGTACAACTTTTGAGTCAGTTTCTCGGCACAACGGTTCCCCGCTCGCTCCGCGAGATGGCACCACGGTGGTGTTTGGCGGGCGCCAGTTTCGCGTTGGCACCCGCCAGGCGTATCGACCGAGCGGCGTTGCGTTTGGTCGATATGGACCGTCGACTGTCGGCGTAAGCGCGTAAACGCGAAAAACACGGGAACGATGACGGAGTGGGTGCGCGCCGCAGCCACCTGAAGCAAAAAGTACTCGTTTTCGCGTGATGGTGACTAAGCGACGTTCCTCGTCGGTGGGAGGCCAAGTGGAGTCCAAGAGTTAAACTGCGCGTCGAGGAGGAGGAGGAAGAGGAAGCGGAAGCAGACTGAGTTGAAGTAGAGTCGAAGTGATTTCACGCTTCTCGATAGAGGCATCACGAGGGTGTCGTGCGAAAGGTCAACCCCGGCGGCTCGACCATCGCGTGTGTGTGCGTGCGTGCGTGTGATATGCCGGCGCCCCACCCCCCGGTGTACAACAGCGCTGTTCACCCTTTGAAACTAACCCTCTGCCTCGCGCCCCTTGGGTGAAGTCGAGCACGCTGCCGTCATCGTCGTCGTTGTTATTGTTGTTGTGTTGTCGTCGTCGTTCGTGACTATGTACAAGCATTGACAGCGCATCACGCCAGCAAGGTGAGCAGATCTCTTCTTTTTTCATGCGCGTGTGTATATATATACGAAGCGATTTATTTTCGGTGCGCATCGCTCCAGAGATCGATCAGCGGCATGGGGGACGAACCGAGTTGGTTTCTCCGTCTCGGGGGAGAAAGGAGCGTGTCGAGGACGAACTCTTCGAGAGTGAGCCTCGCGTCGAGTCGATCCTCTTAGTCTCGAGAAATGAAAGAAGGAAGAGGAAATGGAATTTCGACTTTTAACATTTGCACAAACTTCCAAGTCGATAGCAAGAGAGACTTAGTGATCATTTGTTATTAAATTTTCTGGTACACTGTACATTTAATTTGTACTTGGAGGCAAAGTTCGTTAGCAACTGATGACTGAAGAGTATGCTACTAATCATGAATGAGATGTACGTTATGTAAGAATGACACAGTGAGATAAGCAAAATCATAATACACGTTACTTAAATATATAGAATATTCTAGCACACGTTACTTAAATATATAGAATATTCTAGCATAAGGAGAACACTTCAAATTATATCTTGAAGACTTTAAAAAATTGAAAAAAAATTTCCAAGGTATCCCTCCTTCGAAACCATTCAAATTATGTTCTAAATATTTCTCATTTGATTAAAAACAAAGGAGTTATTTGGTATTCTCCCTATATTATGACACCTTGTGTATCTTAAGAAAGAGTATTACGACTCGAGAAAGTTGGTTCTTGCAGATTGAAGTTGAATTAGATATCGCGAAGTTTAATGGAAATACGATTTTTAACACGATATTCTTAGAATCTCCTCATGTATATAATTGGAAGATATAGAAAAAGTTAAATAAAAATGCTAATGTTAAATATAATAAAATAATTTGTTAAATATAATAAATTAAATTTGAAAGTACGCTTCAAATTTAACTGGCTTACTTTGTCCTTCATTTTTTCCACGATCAAGAGCCACTTAAGTGTCTAAATGACCATCATTAACTAACGCTTATCAGCTCATAAGTTATACATGAGTTAAATACCTAAATAAAGTTTCAATGTACTGGAAGTAATTCAGCTAGAAATCTTATTTCACTAAAAAGCAACTGTGCCTAAATTGTTGTTTCTCTCAACTATACAGTTTTTACACATCTTTTATCCTTAAAATATCATAAAGCACAAGAACATGTAAGTAGGTAAAAGATTATAGAAAACAAAAGGATTACAGATTGAGCTTGCGAAAGACCCATAAATAATAGACCTCTGATCGTTGAACGTTCCTTTGGTATTCATGAAGCATAAAAGATACAGACGCAAAGAGCTCGACGGATCTATTGTATCCTTGACAACGTGCCTCACCGACGGTGGTGCGATTTAGCGTGATTTATACACATTGCGGCGCACAACGTCGGTATCCAACTCGAATACGAAATTGCGTCTCGGCTTGAGCTCGACGCGACCGGGATTATATAGCGGATGCACGACGTTATAAATGGCTGTATTTATTTACATATCAGGCTAAGATGAGCGAAAAAAATGCGAGGTCCACGCGGGATCCAACATTTACAAGATTAAATGCAAATTTCGGTGTGGGTTGCCTTTAGTCCGAGCGTACCTTTTAATAAGAATCACCTGGAACCACCAATCACATCACGACTCTCACCCGCTGTGATTTTGCCTTCAGTTTTACTCGCGCGACGGACCTTTCGTTATAACAAACTAATGTTTCCTCTGCTGACGCAAACGTCCAATTAACACTCTTCCATCGGTTGCAGTATGTACGCGCTGCAGATGCAGACCGCCTGCCAAGGCGAAGGCACTGGCGAACCTGACGACCCCAGCAGCCTTCACCAGGAGCCAGCGCGACCCGCTACACAGGACTGCAGTTCCTTCGACATCGTCAGAGCGACGCAGGTGAAATTAGCGACTGAGTCGAACGTCTGAGGAGATTCCCCGCGATCTGGTTTTGGTACTTTAAGACTGAATAGAATGCGTTTGCAGTATGGAGCACTGGATCGAGTGACGGAATTGGTGGAGGCAGGCGCCGATGTGAACCAGCCGGATTCCGAGACCGTCACGTTGCTGCACTGGGCCGCGATAAACAATCGCAAGGACATCGTTAAATATCTGATTGCGAAGGGAGCCGTTGTCGATGCGATCGGCGGCGAGTTGGCTTCTACACCTTTGCATTGGGCAACAAGGTCAGTCAGATTTGAAGCGGCATCGCCGTCATTAGTCGACGACGAACTGATGAATGAATTGACGATGATGAGGCGATTGAGGAGAATCGATACTCGAGCTGCTTTAGATTGGCATTCAAGTTTCCCTTGTATGTAGATTTAAGATGACCTCGAAGATTCAGCTCTTCGATTGTGGCTTTTAGACAGGGTCATCTCTCCACGGTTGTGATACTGATGAGAGCTGGTGCTGATCCTACTCTGAGGGATTCGGAAGGTTTCTCATGTATACACCTCGCGGCCCAGTTCGGCCACACGGCCATCGTGGCCTATCTGGTGGCGAAAGGTGTGAACCCAAACATGCCGGACAGAAGTGCCATGACGCCGCTCATGTGGAGCGCCTACAAAGTCAACAGGTACATAGAGTGTACCAAGCTGCTGTTACACCACGCATGCGGTCCCTCCTATTAGAATGACTTTATGTTGGTTACTTTAAAGTCTTTCTTTTTACAGTCTAGATCCAACGCGACTGTTGTTGACTCTAGGTGCGTCGCACTCCCTCACCGACAACCTGCACGGTAACACGGCCCTGCACTGGGCCATCATAGCGAAGAACAACACGGCGATATCTATCCTGGTGCAACACGGGGCGTCGTTGGACTTGCCCAATTTCCAAAACGAGACGCCGATGACGCTGTTGGGCCCGCACATTGGCGCCGCATGGCTCGGTCACAAAATCAGCCAGGAGATCAAAGAGAAGCAAGGTCGCACGAGAACATGGTGTAGAGATAAGGTAATTAGATCGCGCCATATGTGCGCATATATACCGCGAATTGGATCGCTGTGAAAGTGATATCGCTGAGGACGATTTGCGATTTAAGCAAAGTTCTCCGTTTCGAAATTATGTTCCCTTTGATGACCCAGACTTGTACTGTATTGGAAAATTGATTTCTCGCTGAGATACACCGAGGGGAGGACAAAATCGTTAAGAAACGATTTTACCTTCTTCTTAAGCTAATATACTTCTCGAAAGAAACCTTGAGAAAAATCAATCTGAATTTATTCCTTAATTTCTCCCTTATTTTTTGCGCCTTTCTATGTTGCAGAGAATCCGTTGGTACTGCATGGTCAGTGCACCATTTATAGCGTTTTATGTGATCGGTATGGTACTACAGAGCGGATGGGATTACTTAATAAAACTAGGTGCCTTCATCACCCTTTACGTAGCGGTGTATCTAATGAACCATTTCGTGTTCGACGAACGGCTGTTCCACATTCTACCAATGTCGATTTATTTGGCAACCAAGGTAAGAATCGAGAGGCCGAGATTCTCATTTCAGATAATCGAAGCCGTGCTCGCGTTTGCACAATTAGTTTTAGCGATAAGCTGTTATGTACGAGATAAGTAATACCGTCGATAAAACGATAAGCTCAAAGGACTAGTTTCAAGCGTAGAAAGTATTACCACGAGCATTAAATATTATTCTCAGTAAGGCAACCAGATTTATGACTTCGGTTTACAACTGATCCTTGCACATCAGTTGCAATATCGCAATATTAATATTTTCATAAACGCTACTCGCATGCTTGATAATTGTTATCGGCGAATATATCTTTGGGCGAGATAAACTGTGAATTGAGAAATGCAATAACAGCTTGTACATTGTCAACATCCTAAATAAATTTTTCCGCATTGAACATATTCGCGAATATTGCATGGAGTATTTTCGAACCTGGCACAAGGGAGAAAACTTGTCGCCGTATTCATAGGAATTCGTCGTCAAAGTTACAACCGCAAGATGCAGACAATTTGACATACGAACGTGACAAGTTTTGCCACATATTGATCGCGTTCAAAAACGTTGAACTAATGAGATAAATTCCATGCTGATTCCAGATGTGGATATACGTCACGTGGATATTCTGGCTAGGAATCCATGCAGCTTGGTATTTGTGGTTGTTATTGATTGGCGGATCTCTTCCACTCTGGATATGTTTTTTGCAGTCTTGGCGAGGTGATCCTGGGATCATTACGGCTACTCACGAGGACAAATTAAATGTACTCTCTGTTGTTTCTACGGCGATAAAATGCTCAGCTTCGCGCACTTGGAGCTGGCGGACTTGCAGTATTACCTTACTAACGCGAAAGTACACACGAAAATAATTGACGCCTCTTTATTTGCAGACGATTATCGAGCTGGCCGAGTCGGGTGGTTTCGAGCCACAATGGTTCTGCAGCAGTTGCTTGGTCAGGCGACCTATGAGATCTAAGCATTGCTCCCAATGCGACCGTTGCGTGGCGCGATTCGATCATCATTGTCCGTGGGTGAACAACTGCATCGGTGTGTGTTAAGTATTACGAATGATCTCTTCTTTCTAGCCGAACTGGCTGCACCGGTTCAAGAAATTTACATACACATTGAAGCGTACGAAGCGCACGTATGAGATTTTCACGTTTCCGTGCGCGCAAATTTCTTGAAGTAGTGCAGCCAATTCAGCTGAAAAGAACAGTCCAAATGACTCCGTTCTCCAAGGAGACTGTGCGACCGTGCGATTTTTTCGGGACAAAAGGACAGTCGTCTGATTTTACCGTCTGACTTTCAGGTGCACATAATCACAAGTATTTCCTTGGGTTTTTGGCATCTTTGCTGGGGCTGTGTATCGTTATCTTGTCCGCTAGTGTACAGTATTGGCAGTTCGAATGTTGGTCGAACTTGACGAATGAGCATAATAGCGCGGACAACTATTTGGTAGCAGCAGCTACGTGCGACGCATGGGTAATGTGGGTGGCGGCTAACACGTCCCTCCACTCCTTTTGGGTCGGGACTTTATTAGCATGCCAATGCTATCAGGTAAGGCGATATTATATGATATTATCTCGTAAATTTCATAAATTGTTATGGACAAACGAGGAATTTTCCAACTTGCCGAATAATTTTGTACTCATCGCGATCGTTTTATTTTTCTCTCTGATGCATGTGTTACGATTGAGATCCGTAATCGAAATCGGCCGTTTCGCGAATTGATTGCTCTTCGGGCTTTAAATACGGACGATCATGCGAGAAATATTGCTTGTTAACCCTTTGACTGGCAAAAACTGGCAGACGCAATACTGCATTTTAATATTTTAGGCAGTTCGATATTTCTCAAATTTGACATTCAAAGGTTTTTGGGCTCGTTCTATTCAATGGTAAACTTCAAAATTCAAGATGGGTTCATTACAGAATTTTATCGTAGTTAAACAAAATAACGTTTATGGACATTATATTGAATCCGTCATTTTGAAATTTGCAGTTTTGATTATTAATTCGCAACCAACAACTCAAAAATACGTTTATGTACATAGAAAATTTTCAGATGTCCAGTTTTACTTTGATGGAATAAAATTATGATTTTAGTTGCCATATTGGATCTACTATTATGAATTGGAAAAATGTTGGCTTCATATTCGTAAACAGTGACCTCAAAAACCCTAGACGCAAAATTTTTATGGCATTGTTTGGCTCATGGAAATTTATTTTCTGCCTAAGTACTTTTGCGAAATTCAGCTTGTCAGTTAAGAAGAAGTTAATCGTGAAAATCACAATTAATTATGAATTACAATATATCGTGGAACTATACTGTAGAAACAATTCCAAGTGGCAGCTGTAATGCTTTTAGAGTTTCGTTGGAAAACCATAGTTGTAGCGTTGAGCAATAGTAATATCTCATGACACCGTAACAATGATCCGGAGTCACAATTATGATCGCCTGATTGGCGGGGAGTGTAATTATTTGTTGCGTCTTCAGATTATGGTCCTGGGCATGACTACGAACGAACGTATGAACGCCGGTCGGTACAAGCACTTCAAGCAAGGGAACCCATTCCATCGTGGTGCCCTGCAGAACGCCGCTGACTTTTGTAACTTCAGCTTCTGCGGCGTGAAGGCGAAACCGAGCTCGGACTGGCTGCACAGCTTTGATCTCAAACAGAGCATCGAGAAGTTACCTTTGCTCGCGCAGAAGGATAACTTTCAGTACGTTTAAAGTTTTGTAAAGAATAAACTATCGTGGATATATTACTTATATCGTCAGCCGTGAGAAGCTAATGTACACAACGTATACAACACACATACACATCCACACGCGCAAAATACAGCATATCACTTATGCCTGAAGTACTTTCTTGGGCCACCAAAGAGTCGCCGCGAATATATAAGTGACTTCCCGTGTGCGTACAGCTGTAATTAACGCATATACCAAGATTTCGCTCTCGCATACTCTTTAAGTAGCTCTTACTATAACACAGATCGCTAGAGGTAACGATTTTTCAACTCGTACGTCTCGGAAGACTGTTGTACCTCGCGAATGTGCATATCTCACCTGTGCTCTACCTTACCTTACAAAAAGAAAAAGAAATATCGACGAGCGACCGAACAATTCGCACAAGTAATTCGTTCGAAGGGCTTACTTCTGTAAAATGTCTTGAATCCATTGAAAAGTAAAACAAGTGAAGGGTTAATTAAAAATTAACGAATTGACGATTAACCAACAATGTCCGTACAGCAACAACAGTCTGCTATGCGGTATTCAACTGTGGAACAGCAACAATTGATTGTTCGACAACTACCAAAGATGCAGCAACAATAGCCGATTGTACGACAACAGCGTCAGATATTCGGCAAAAAGCTATATCACAGCAACTAGAGTCGACTGCGAAGCAGCAACGACCGATTGTGCGACGACGACGACAGCCGATTATGCAGCATCAATGGCCGAGCATCAGACTGTTCCTAGCGTGTTACGGAACGGTCATAAGCGACTTATGAGTACTCGTGAACACATACAATCACATTTTTCTCTTTCTAAAGACGGATTGAAGACTGGAGGTAAGCTCTTCGATTTCGTGATAACTTTACAAAGTAATATAATTTGTCGGATCGATTGTTTCGGTTGCGGATAATCCTTTTTATATGTCTAGTATTAAGATTTCTTTAAAACAAGTGAAATGAATTAGAATATCATTAACGGATAATAACGCTTTGTCTCTTCAAGTTCCTGCTCTTCTTTTTTGCTCTTATGTCATCTTGACTAGTGACTAGAGACGAGAGGATACAGTTCGAAATTCTTGCAAGATACGGTAAAACGAAAAGATATATCCATAACTGAGTTTCAGGTCGTTCCTCTTCTTCTGAAGAAGTGAATTGGAATGTTCCGAAACGTCGAGAACAGATCCACGCTGAAGGCGGCACCAACCTGGAAGCCAAATTAAGCATGTATCCATAAAATGGCACTTGCCATCGATCAAGTAGATTTGTAAAATTTTATTATTTTATAAGCATGTCTTTTCGCTTCGCCGTCTTTTGCAAGAATTTTCACGGCTATATTTTCTTACTCCTGGCATTGTTTCATCAAGATGATTGCGGCGAGAAACAGCAACGGCAGATTTAATCGCGTGCTGTAAATCATTGTAACGATGATTTGTCTTCATTCTCGATCCTTCACTGGTCATTCCATGTTTGATTTCAATGTTACGATCTATAGATAACAATTTGACGATACGTCGAATTCATTCAGGAAGCAAATGCACTTAGAGCCTGAAAGTATATATTATTCAGCAAATGAATTTATAGACTAAAGCTGATATATACTGCACACACACACACACACACACACACACACACACACACACACACACACACACACACACACACACACACACACACACACACACACACACACACACACACACACACACACACACACACACACACACACACACACACACACACACACACACACACACACACACACACACACACACACACACACACACACACACACACACACACACACACACACACACACACACACACACACACACACACACACACACACACACACACACACACACACACACACACACACACACACACACACACACACACACACACACACACACACACACACACACACACACACACACACACACACACACACACACACACACACACACACACACACACACACACACACACACACACACACACACACACACACACACACACACACACACACACACACACACACACACACACACACACACACACACACACACACACACACACACACACACACACACACACACACACACACACACACACACACACACACACACACACACACACACACACACACACACACACACACACACACACACACACACACACACACTTAATTACATATACAGCCTACAAGATTATCACCATTCAATTATTTTGCCATTGTCACATAACATAATCGGGAATTTCTATTCTCATTTGTGCGAACATTCGAGAAATATTGACGATGTACTTATTCTCGGTAAATTCTTACAAATTTGCGATGATAAAGAGGATACAAATAAATAAATCAACGTATAAAAAAAAATGCAAAGGAATAATTGAAAATTCCTCTTACGCGGCGTAAAACAAATGAATACGCGAATAATGCAAAGATTAAAATTCGTATATAAAGTGCAAAATGAGATAAGAGTAATGTGGCCTACATACATGATATTGCTCTATATAAATGTATAAACTATGCGAATTAAAACGTATAAGAAAGTCGAACGCTGCGCGATAGAGAATTGCAAATAAGGATGAAAAAAAAAGAAAGAAAGAAAGGAAAGCTGCATAACGGTTGTTCACGCTGTTTATTCTATTGTTCGTATTTGTAAGAGACTTTACCTGATTTAAGTGCCATGTTGTGCTTCTTGAAATGCATTTACGCGTACTCGACTTAGCAGAGTTATGTTAAAAGTCAGTCTATTATCTGTGTATCAGTTACTGTTACATTTAAAATTTAACGCTCGTCGTAACAGCGCGATCGCAAAGCAATATTGCAAATTATTTGTAATATCTTTAAGGATTGTTATAGCTTATAACGCATCAAGCATATCTCGTCGAGAACGCTTAGATCACAAAAAAACATCGCTTTTTATATGTTAAGCAAAGAGTTAAAATCTAGAACATCGTTGAAGCGACAGAAAAATTATTTAACGCCGCAAATTGTAAGCAAGTGTAGCGCTCTTTGTGCATATTATATCTAATACTTAACTTTAAAGAAACTTCTGATATAATTCTTCCAAATTGTGTGTACAAATTATCGCGATGGATATTGCCGCTTGTACATTCCAGAATTAACAGTAGCGTTTTATAACGAGGATATATGACGTCAATTCTTGCATCTCGAATATCTTGTTAACATCTCGTTTCGATCTTTCGGTTTCGAAGATTCGCGCATTTTCGCCCGATCTCGTTTCATCACGACGCTTCAGTCTCGATTTTTGTGACAGCGTACACACAGGCGAGCCGATCGAAAATCGAGTATTTGCGCGACACGTAGTTTCGTTTCATGTGATTAATATACAAATGTAAATATATATTTTATATATATTTTAGTTTATCGGAACTTTTTCTATGCAGGAACGAAATTATATTACTTTTCAAAAGTAATATAATTTTTCCGACAAACGGATGTCGTGTCTCATTCGACGAGATCGAATTACGCTGTCGAAATGCACACGTTGTTGTATTAACGCATTTTGACACGTCGTTAATTCAAAGTATCGCGAGAACCTTTTGTCTCCCTCCTAATTACAATTCGTGCTTCGATAACTATTCCTCTGTAAATAGCTATGTGTATGTATCAGCTTGATTTCACAATATCGAGTTTAACTTAAGAATTTTATATGATTTAGTAACTTCTTTCCGAGAATGAATCGTCGAATCGATACGCATGGTTTGACTCTGGGTTCGATTTGCCACTCGTTGTATTTAATTCATACGAATTTCCACACCCGACCCAAATTCTTGTACAGAATAAATGGGGGACACTCGTGTACAAAATGTTGAAACATACAGATAGTTTTAATATGGATACACCTGAGATAACAACTACAATTGTCGCAAAAAAGGAAAAAAAAAAGAAAGGTGAAACACAAAGGTGAATACTTCATGTCAATGTTGTTAGAACAGTGAGATACGTGTATAAATATATTATATATAAATATAGCAATATATATTATAAAGAGATGAAATCGATTGTATTGTAATGTCGATTTTGCATTAGATGTAATTTGCGTTCGCTCGTCGAAAGGTTCCCAACCCGTGTAAATCGGACCTGCGGAGCCGTGCGACTCCTGCATAATTTTATTTCTCTCGATCTAGTCCAATTGAGATTAGTAGACGGCATAATATAGCACCGATGTATTTTGACGACTGCGATTATCTACGACTGTGTTGTGATTACTTCTTATTACGGGAGGTCTAATCGTCAAAATAAGCTGTATTATCTCGACCTTCTGTATGTACTACGCGGTATTTTAAATAGTGGAATATACGGCTCTCTTTTGCACGCGAATCCAATCCGGAACGGCGGGTAAGAGGCCCCGCCGCAGTTTTTACATATGTTATGAAACAATACACGAAACACACGTTCGGTCACTCGGTGACCCTCGTCAGCGGTTTATAAACGCCAAATGATTGAAATCAAAGTCCAAATATATATATAAATTATATCCAGATGCGATACAACGCACGCATGCGAATTAAATTCTTGTACTTGTCTTTAGTGGCGAATGATGGTGTTTGCGTCATGGTGTCCCATCGAACGGTGTGTGTACAGGTCGTAAATCGATGGTAATGACAAGGTGAAATTCTCACCAACAGATTTTTCCGGCCGGCGTATATCGATCTGTGAATTTTAATTATTTCACAATAACACTCGTAGAAATCAAATGAAATTGAATATAATTGGTACATGTAAGTGGATGCACAAACTCACCGATGGGAAGTGATAATTAACGCGCTAAGATGCTTAGTAAATTGTTGCATATCGCAACAGCTATTTACATTTTGACGATAGCAATGTGTGCAAAATGTACGTGTGGCATGTATATCAGAATGAACAAGCGAAGCTTGTAACAATTGGCTAATAATTATATGTCATTTTATGCATTGATAGTATTATTTAGACACTAACATGCCACACTTGAAACGCGTCTAAAAACGTATGTGAAACATGTTTATGATAAACTGACTCTTCGTCCAGTATTCTTACGTTATATAACATATCCAATTAAAATTATGATTACGTTATGGATAGATTACCTGCGTTTTGAAAAACGTTAGATAATCTTACTTTATATATCTTAATCATTTATATCTATGCAATTAAATGTTAGAAATTAGAACAAGCAAATAAAAGCACTCTGGTAAGCAAGAAACATCAAATCAATCTTTTGAAATATTAATTTTATGTGGATTTTATGGATTTTACAAACATTTTGACATAATATTTTATAAATGTTTTTAAATTGTTACTTGATGATATAATATTCCTAAATATTAAAATCATAGCATAGAAATATTATTTTTAATGTTTGGGTCGAATATTGTTGAACAATGACGTTTTATACAATATTAAGAACTACATATTTGAAAATGTTACATGTTGTGAAATATTGTAATAACGTTGTATTAATGATAATTTCTTGTTTACTGGTGTGGTTGTTAAGTGTGAATACATATTTTTTTTAATTGGGAGGATGATATATTTGAGGAGATTCCTGGTTGAGGCAGTATTTTTCATAACATTCTGGAAAATCAATTAAGATGTAATAATTAAATAATTAATTCATAAAATGGGTGTTTTAAAGAGAATTATTAATACTAATTATTAATATTAATAATTGGAATACAAGATTGGTTTGACGTCAGAGGGAGATTCCCCGCGTACGTTAAAAATTTGACGAAATGTCGGCGCATGCTTTATCACACTGTCAAATATAATATTCTCTTAAATTAAAAAAATATATATATTCGCATTTAACAACTGTGTTTGGCTGTTATTCGCCTATTCGAATTTTTTATTTTTCATTGTATATTATGAGAGCTTAATATAATATAGTCTGCCTAATAAACATCAATTATCAGCAACGCAATAACGTCACAACACATGTTGCGTTTACATTATTGAGTGGGAAATTATAATATTGACTTACGTTATGTTACTGCTGGTTGGTGTTTATTGGGTGTTTGTATGTATATGTTTTTACCTGCGTATTTTTACTTATATAAATATTATTTATGTACCTTGTAATATTTCTATGTATCTATAATTTTGTATCTTATTTGAATATCAATTTTTTTTTATATCTGGACTTCGATTTTAATTGTTTATGGATTAGTCTTCATACAATGAAGACCAAAACACGATTGGTGTTATTTATTATGCAATATATGGAATCGTGCATTAATAACTGCAGTAGGGCTCTTATTTGATATTCCTTTCCGGTTTCGATTCTCGTTGAAAGTCGTAAATATCGTTACATTATCAAGCAAGCGAAAAGATGATACGATAAAAAAATAACACGTTTTTACATGAAAAAGAAGAAGAAGAGGAACACAGCGTTGTCAGCGTTGTAAAAGATACTATACTTATACAGCACACACGCGCAAGCATATTTCTATCGTTATTTATTAAGCTTCATATAAGCGAGATAATTTACTTCTATAAGATTGTAACAAAAAATATATATATATATACAGAGTGTCCCAAAATGGTCGGACAGTTTTCTTTTTTTTTAATTATGCCGGTTAAAATAAGGATAGAGATACATATTTTAGCTCAAATGAAAATTTATTATGAATGAGGTTATTGACTAAATATAACATTATTTAAATAGCGACGTATTCGCCAAGTTGCTTGTCTAAATTTTCGAACATTTTTCAACACAGATTTAAGTGTCGCGGCTATTTCTTCTTCAATTCAACGCTTCAGGTTACCAGTGGCCACACTCAGAACAACGTTTAATTTTCAAATATTGGAAGTTTTCTGAGTTGAAGTTGGATTATTCTTTTAGATCTATAGGAATAATTCAATGGTCACGTTCAGCAGAACGTTTAGTTTGCAACTGTTGGAAGTTTCCTGTGCTGACATTGGATTGTTTCTGTAGATCTAAAAAAGTAATCTAATCAGCACAAAAAAAAACTTTCAACAGATGCAAATATTCTGTTGAGTGCGGCTAATGTCAGCACAGGAAACTTTCAACAGTTCCAAATGAAACGTTCAGCTGAACGCGACCAGTTGATGTCGGTATCACGGGAGATACATTTTATGTCAAACGCTTTGCGCAGAACTCGCTAAAAGCTCGGGAGATACTCAGCAAGCAATTTCCTAGTTTGTCGGATGTGCCGGACTGTCGACTAGAGAATTTCTAGGGTGTCTGGGAACAAATGTCAGAGATCCTGGAAATTTTCTATCCAACAGCCAATCAGCACATTCGACAAACTCATCATACGACGTGTGAAATAGCACCTAAAGAAAACTACATTAGGTTAGACGAGGAAAGACGATCAAATGTAATCGTCACTGCGGTTGAATTTTAAAAATAAATAATTATAAAATAAATATGCATTTACCTAAAAATTTAGTTGTAAAATAAGGATTAATTTCTATAGTATTACATATATGGTTCCAATATTTATTGTTAGTGCTGAAAATCTATAGTATACGTGACATGAACTATAGGCTTTCAGCGCTACCAGTGTATTTTAGAACACAGCCAATATGTTACCTGGACTGGTACTTTTCAACACAAGATATGAAATATTTCATAAAATATTCATTTTTCGATAATTCATTTTTCGATCATTTTTCGAAATATTTTATAAAATATTCATTTTTCGATGTATCATTTTATATGTATATAAAAAAAATGTTATAAATTAAAATCTTTATACGACGAATTATAAATCTTGTTCGTAGGTAAAATAAGGAAGTATGAAATTATAAACTGTCTTTTTAATAATTTTGATATCTCTCATCTTTTCCTTTACTTCTTACAATGTCATATATGTATGTATTCGACGGCAAAAGGTTTGCGATATATTTCGATATTTTTTACAATAGACGAAAATCATGAAAACAATCATACGATTTTCATCTTTTTCGAAACTCGTCAAATTGAAGTGTCGTAACTTTTTTGCCGTCAACCACATACATATATTGGAGACAGTGTGAAGTCCCCTTGCATATAACAGGTACAAAGTAGTTCTCACTGCTAAACAGTTATGGCTGCTACCGAGTTGTGAGTTGTACGTTGTAACGAGGAAACATATCTACAAATGTCTAGTAAAACAAATCGATCATTGGCCTATTTTGTGCAGAAAAAATGGCGGGATTAGAGACCTACGAGAGCGTATATAGGGGTCGGCCGGTGAAATCGTGGGAAATGAGTACACCGTATCCACAGAGGTACTACGGTCGAGAGGTTATTCATCCCCCGGAAATACCCGTTAACCGCCCTTTGGCAGAAGACAATGCACCGGTTGTCGAAGATGGTAAGTTCGTTGGAAATTATATTGTCGTTTTCCGCAAGGATACCGTGTCCATTATCATTGTCCTTACTATTATCCTCGTTTATTGTTTGTCACTGTTTGGAATCAAATGGTCTGTTCTTTTTAGTTCCTTTGCCAGACTGGCGCAATAAGTTAGTGCGAGAGACAAAATATACTTATTGCACTCTAATTTATTGCATCAATTCAACAATGCAGCTAAAAAGAACAGATCAAAAGTTTGCATCTTTTGTGCTGAAATATATATTGCGATGTTTGCATTTCAGATGCTGTGAAAAAATATATAGGTTTAGGTTGCGGGTTAGTGAGCTTAATTACAGAAAACCTTTTAATCCATCCTTTTGTGGTGTTACGTAGGCAGTGCCAAGTTAATCCAGGATCAACGAAATATCACTTAATACCTATAACTTTAGTACCAGTAATAGTACGTTTGCATCAGACCCAAGGTGTAAATACGTTATGGAAGGGAATCGGCTCGGTTTTACTTGTAAGAGGCATGACATTGGCTGTTGAGGACCTAATTTCAAAAGTCACACCGTGGCCAAAGTAAGGTGACCATTAAAATGTGTTTGTTATTTTCTAACATCTTATAGATTCTTGTACAGATATCCTTTTGTTATAACTGAGTACTTATTTTTTAGGAAAGTTACCTGTAATAGCTCTCTAAAAGCATTTGGCCAACATATCCTTCTTAAATGGTAATGATATTAATATAATATGTATTGAAAGATTCATTTCACACACACACACACGCACACACACACACATATAATGAAGAATTGATACATATAATTCTCAATTTTGTAGCGTCTCCATAGGTATAGTGACTCCTTTCTATTCTGCATCCCTTGTAGAGACTGTTCAGTCTGAAATTGCTTCTGAATGTCCTGGAATTTTGGATGTATTCCGAGATGGTGCAATTCGTTTGCTTGATGTCTGCAATAAGGGTAGACTTATCCCTATTTACGCTCTTGTGCCACCTACTATAATTTATGGAGTATCGAAGTATTTATTTACTCTTACCATAAGAGGAGTCACCAGTCGAATAATGCACATTAGATATAAGCATATACAAGAAGCCAGGGTATGTAGTTAATTTTCTTTTTAAACTTTAGAGTAAAATATATGTGAATATAATAATAGAATGTACGTAAAGGAACGTTATTCTATTCTTAGGGTGCATATAGCAAAGATTTGTTATCCGAAAGTGTCGTTCAAGATATAGAAATGCAGTCCATACTGGTTTCGATGTGTGCCGCGGATATTTTGTTTTATCCACTTGAAACGGTTATTCATCGGCTACATCTTCAAGGTACACGCACTATTATCGATAATTTAGATACTGGAAAGAGTGTCACACCATTATTAACAGGATATAGTAGTGCTACCGATTGTTACAACACAATAATATCAACCGAAGGACCGTTTGGTCTCTATAAAGGATTTGGTGCTCTTATCTTACAATTTTCTGTGCATGTCGTAGTATTGCGGGCAACAAAATGGCTCTTGACAGAATTAAGCGCAATATTGGTACCGAAACCTAAATCAATGAAATTACAAAAATCTTCATACTACGATGAAATATAAAGGAAGTACTGTTTCTATAACTAAATATGAGATACATGAAATTACTCTTATTATTTGGCTATTATATATATATGTATGTGTGTGTGTGTGTGTGTGTGTGTTATTCAATTTATGGCAATATGAAACAAAGGATTGAATTGAATAATGAAGATGGTTTACACTAGTATTAATATATGAATTAAGAATTCTACAGTAGGAAGAATTTCCACAATTTTTTCCATACTGTTGATAAGATTTTTTTATCACGTATGTGTGAATGTAAATTGTGCAAAGTTTGTATTGTAAATTTTACAATCAATATAAATTAAGCAGAACAGATTAGGCTTAAAATTCTTTTGAATTTATAAAATAGGATAATATTTGTAGATATTTCATCTTGAATGTAATGGTTATTTTCATCTAATTAGTACTTTCAGCACACAGTAAAGTGTAAATAGTCAAATGAGATTTTGTTAGAATACAATGTTAAATATACAAGACAAATACATTGTAAATTGTTTGCGAAGTAAATAAAAAGATATATTATGATTTTGTATAGATTTTTATTACAAAAAATATATAGGATTATTTTACTCATCAATATAATTCATCAGATTACCATAAAGTGAAAATTTAAAAGTGAAATTATGTAATCATTCTTGCTTCATGTCATATTTTACACAGCCTTTTTTTCTTTCATCTTTTGTGTAGTATAGCTAAAAAATCGCTCTAGTACAGATATATATTGTGAATGATAATGAATTCACATAAAAAAANATACTAGTACTTTGCAAACAATCCTTGCATGTATGACATTACATGAAAATTGATTTTTAATAGTTATATTGAAATATCATATATTTTTTTATAATACATGCAATTGTACATATTTAAATTGGAACCATTTCAATATTTACAATATTTTCTTCTTTTAATTAATTCGTATATTAAAGCATAATAACACTTTTTTTTTATATTGTGTCTAATATATATTTTGCTTCACTAAGTGGAATTTGATGATCTCATAATTTACTTATACTGCGTAATTTTAATAAACTAATATGGAAATATTTTTTCTCTTTTTACTATAAATATTATCATTGATAAATATAAAGGATGAATTCAATAATATAAAATTTATTTACATTCTTTTAATATCAAGTAAAATTAAATTCGCGTATTTTTTTATTCGAATATTACAATATTATCTTTTGAAAGAGATATTTATGTGTATTTGAAGAAAAATACGAGATACATGACTTGCTCTTAATTATATAAC